TCATATTATCAAACTCTACCAAGTATAAATTTATGTCATTTCGTTTGTACATCCTCTTCATTCTTCGACCGAATGATAACATTTCTGAAACTCTGTTCTTAGGTTATGGAAACCGAGCGAATGATTTATTTAGTCACTGAATACGCCAGTGGAGGAGAAATTTTTGGCAAGTATTATTTAAAATTTGATGCCGAAAATCTTGCATTACGTATTTGTAGAGTCTACTTATCTCTCCAGTTTCAAAATTTCTTTATAAATATTCGTTTTCTTCCCCCAGATTATTTGGTTGAGCATGGACCCATGAGCGAAAGTGAAGCATGTCGCATATTCCACCAGATTGTGTCTGCAGTTCATTATTGTCATTCTATGAATATTGTGCATAGAGACCTTAAGGCTGAAAATTTATTATTAGACTCGAATAATGACATTAAGCTAGCAGGTGTGTATTTTCGCCTGAAACTTTCCTTCGTTATTTTCATTGAATTACTGAGCGATGACATTTTGAAATTATCATTTTCAGATTTTGGATTTAGTAATACATTTGCCGAAGGGCAACTTTTGTCAACTTGGTGTGGGTCTCCCGCTTATGCTGCTCCTGAATTGTTTGAAGGCCAAAAATATGATGGTCCGAAAGCCGATATCTGGGTAAATATATTGGCCTAGTATTGTTTTTGTAATTTTGAGCAAGAACGTCTCTGGAGCTTTCACAGAGAAATTAATCACAAATATGTACCTTTTTGCTTTGTACGTGATGAAATTTCTAAAATGTCGGTATGGAAAAACTTGATGATTTCTATCGTTTTTATACTTCGTTGTAGAGCTTGGGTGTTGTACTGTACGTTCTTGTTTGCGGTGCATTACCGTTCGGTGGAAAAAATTTACAAACTTTAAGGTCACAAGTCCTCTCTGGGAAATTTCGAATACCATTCTTTATGACTGGCGGTAAGATTAGCTTAATGGCATAACTTTTTCGTCAAGTTTCCTCGATCGTAATTCGTGATACTGTGTTCCAGCTTGCGAAAATTTGATACGTCATATGCTTGTTACCGACGCGGAAAGACGTTATAGCCTGCCACAAATCATTCAGCACGAATGGATGAAGCAGGTAGTTGAAATATTCTTGGGTTCAAATGAGTCTCTTCCTTTCGGATAAATCTGAGTTCATTCTCTCAGTCCTTTGAAAAGAGATTATCTATGCTTCGTTAATAGCATTATCTTACAATTTTCCTAATTGCTTAAAAATCATTAACACTCAAATTGAAGTACTTCGCTTATAAATTTGAATAAACAATTGAAACTATCGTTAATTTTAATTCCGCAGAGCAATATCGTTTGTTATTCACATGTGATACTCAATACAAATCCTGTGATAAATAATGTTGTTGTCGAACATATGCTTCAGTTACCCGGACTTAATCATGATATGATAGTGAATGTAAGTAATCCGATTCATTATTTTCGTAATTATTGTTGAAGGGTATTTGAAACAAGGGAGTAACAATTAATTCAGTTTCATCAATTTTTATCTTACTCGTAATTGTAAAGTTTTAATTTAGTTTACTTTCAACTGTTTTCTGTATAGCTTAATTCATTCTCTCAGCCGACTAGAATTTTCCTGAAAAAATTAATCCTGTCATACGTAATGTTCATTGAAATTTCTAATTCGATGAAATAATGAAAATTAAACTAGGAACTTTTCTCTTGATTCAATTATGATGGTGTTTTGAAAATAAATTGAGGTCACCTGTTACCTAAGGATCTTATGAAATTGCTATGTCAAGTCACTATTGCTCTGCTCTTCATCACTACTCAAGATTTGCAGGAGAGGGTAATAGAAGGGCAAATCTTTTGTAATATTGAAGAAAGGTTTTCCAACGCCTCGTTTCAAAAATTTTTGTAAATATATACCTACTCGTTTACTTGAGCCCGAATAAAAACTTGTAAATTAAAGGGAAAATGTCATGTCCTGCGTGTATATTTTATTTTTTTAGTCCGTTCAGCAAAGATGTTTCGACCACGTTAGTGCCATATATCATCTTTTAGCTGACAAATTGGAAGCTAGTAATAAACCGACGATATCTGTACAAAAAAGCGCAGGTAAGTGCGTTTTTATTTTGAAAACCGCATTCATTTATTTATGACTCATATGTTGACCTTTATCGTAGATATTGTTCCCAAAAACAATGAAAACACTATACTTCAGTCTTTTCTGTCAATATCGTCGCTATCTTCAGAGTACGAATTTACTGAAGCCAATTTACTGGAAAAGGTTGGTTGACTGCCAGCATGGCAATAGATAACAATGTTTTCCATTCAATTTTATTAAATTTTTTCAATTGTAGTTTGGTGATTCTGATATTGGTGAGCCACTTCGTTATGTCAATGGACAAGACACCTACCATGTTACCAATCGACGTCATACCGTGGGTCCGGGAGATACTTCTCATACTCAGGTAAAATTCTTGTTTTTACCGGACGAATCATGTTTGTCAACATTTATTCAAAGTGAGGGAAAATCAGTTTAGAAGATTTTCTGGCTCTAATTCTGTCAATTTCGATGCTCTCTACAACGAGTACATCATATATTTTGATTTTGATCGGAGAGCTTTACTTTTAATGATCCCCTACGTCAAGTAAGATAGTTTTATGTTCAATGACTGATAATACTACAAATGGAGTCATGCAATCTGAATTTTATCTTATTCTAGCTGTAGTTCTTATGAAAGTTTCGATTTAGGCATAATCGGTAAAAATTAAGTTAGCTTGCTTCAATTAGAAACTTAATATGTTTGATTTGTGTTAGGCTGTCTGTTAGTTCTGTGTCAGATTTTTCATTACTTCTTCCTATCCTTCTATTGTTCCTGCAGCTAATGGCAAGTTGATAGGTATCCTCGGTCGTCCGGAAAAATGGAATAAAATGTAAAAAAATTTTTGACTATCGAGTGAAATAACTTCTCATTAATCATGTAATACGTTAATGCATTTTAGAAAAATACGTACGAATACTTTCCTGTTTCAATTTGTGGTTATGTTGGTTTTTAAATTTTCATGATTAAACTAATTTTAAAACCACCAATTTTGATTGGATTGAATCAAAAAGTCCTGCTTTTTCGAAGGGCGTGATCTTCAGTTTTTCCTATTGTTAACGTGAAATATTTAAAAATTGAAGAATTACCCTTATCAGGAAAGTATTGCGCTACCGCTTTCTTCCTGAAACTCATTTTCAATTCGTA